CATCCTCACCCAAGTTTTTAGTGTGTGATCCAGTAGATTTTATAATTCAAGAGTAATTTGCATGGAAGCAGTTGCTTTTGTTTTGCTTATCTTAAATCTTCTGCATGTTAATTGTACATATACATTATTTGCTATTTATTACTGGATGTTTTATAGTTAATCATTTCATATAGGACAGCCCCTTGCACATATAGCCTATGTTCAGAATTATTTATGTTTTATTTCAGGCCTGGTTATTTTTTCATTTTTTTTTATAAAAGGTGTCTTTATTGATAGATCTTGTATCTGTTCTGTATAAAACACAGCTACCAGTTCTTGAGGAAAAAATAGATGTTTTAAGTTGACATTTAATTGCCCGTGTTTGCTTTTTGTTAAATTTTGATCAGAAATACATTTCAATATGGTTTATTTCATTTCCTTCAGCTTCAAAAGAAACAGAGAAACAGTTTGTGTTGTGTTTAAATTCCATTACATTTGCTGTTTCTTCTCCCTGAGGGTATCTTTCAATGTTGCGTGAAATCCTTCATTTGAACTTCAGCTACTCTTTATCTCCTTTCAGAACTGAAAATGTCACAATTTCAAACTTACTTTTTCTTAAATGTAGGAATAAGAAGAAAAAAATTCCGCTGATGAACGGCGAAGAAGTTGACATGGATCTTTCTGCAATGGAGTAAGTTACTAAAGTTTAAGGACGTAATATTTTCTCATTCTCATTTGTCTTGTTATATACATCTAAAAGTATGTAAATGTCCTGAATTAGTACTTTTAACACTTTTGAAAGGCAATGGAAATGGTATGTTAAAAGCAAATCTGACACAAAATCGTACAATGGAATACTGCTTAGGCATAAAAAAGATGAAATGTTGCCATTTGCGACAACATAGAGGGATCTTTAGAGTATCATGCTAAAAGAAATAGGTGAGTCAGAAAAGGACCATAATCATACAGTTTCGTTCATATGTGGATCATTAGACAAAAAGCAACAAACGAACAAACCAAACAAATTTATAGATGCGGACAACAGAATGGTGGTGGTTGTCTGTTCTTCCCCAGAGGGGAAGGGGGTTGGGGGAGGATGGAGAGGGTAAAGGGGGTCAAATACGTGGTGACGGAGGGAGACTAGACTTTGGGTGGTGAGCATACACTAGAGTATACAGATGTCATATTATAAATTTATATAACGTTATTAACCAGTGTTATCCCAATAAATTTAATTGAAAAAATAAAATTAAAAAAGTAATTAAAGAGTCTCGGAGAAGTAAATCTACGCTGGTCCAGGTGAAATGAAGAGGAAATACAGGATGATTGTGGTGTGGGCACAGGTTTGGCTCAGGCAGCTTTCTTGCTACCCTGCCGGCTTCTAGAGCAGCGCTTCTCAAGCTGTAACATGCATGTCAATCACTTGGGGATTCTAACGCACAGTTTCTGACCCAGCACTTCACTAGCGAGTGCTCATAGTTTGCATTCCTAATGAGCTCTCAGCTCTTTGAGGCTCTCTGTGTTTGCAAAACACAATTTAAATGTCACTATTCTAAGTGTTATTGATTGACAGTTTCACTTTTAAATATAGCTGAAACTTTTTATTCATATTGTGCCTGTATATTTTAGATTATCATTGTGATAAAGTTGAAATACTCACATATTAAACATAATGAGAAAGTTGTCAGTATGATTGAAAAAAAAATGAATACAGTAAAACTCCAGGCAGTCTTGAATTCTATGTGTAGAAGAGAATCTGGGTAATAAATGCTTTGTTTTTATTTTATAAGTATATAAAATTGAAAAAAATAACAAAAATTGTATTTTCCGTCAGTGCTGACTCCCCTTTGCTGTGGATAAGAATAGACCCCGATATGTCAGTACTGAGGAAAGTAGAATTTGAGCAAGCTGATTTTATGTGGCAGTACCAGCTCCGCTACGAGAGGGATGTCGTTGCCCAGCAGGAATCCATTTTGGCTTTGGAGAAGTTCCCCACTCCAGCGTCACGGCTGGCGCTCACCGACATATTAGAACAAGAGCAGTGTTTCTACCGAGTAAGAATGTCAGCTTGCTTCTGCCTTGCAAAGGTGAGACAATGTGCAGTAGAAAGAAAACAAGATGAGTATTGCATGTTTACAAAAAAAAGAAACCAGCAAACTCTGAAAACGAATTAAAGTCTTTGATTTCACGTGATAGCTGGTACCTTGAAAGCTTTTGCCAAATGCTTTTAACACGACTAATTTGAAAGAAACATGTTTTGACCTGAAAATAGATAATGCACTAAAATTTTTTAATTGTCAAACTGAGAGTCAGATTTTATTNGATATATCTTAATTTTTTAATATTTTGATAACTGCATTTCATTATAATTGTTTGTGTTTTTTTTTTTTTTTGGTAATGCTGTAAATTTTATTTTGCACATTTTAAATCACTTTCTCAGATGGGGTCGGTAGGATTAGCCAGACTACTCAAGTGTCTAAAAGCACAACAAAGGTTAAGAAGCTTGAAGCTGTATAACCAGTAGCCTGTCGTCTTTTCTTTGCTGTAGCATGGTCACCGAGAAAAGATCAAGTCAGTGGGAAAGCAGAGGAATTTGGAATTAGACAAACTTGGATTTTTATCGTTATTAATTTTTGTGATCCAAGAAAATTGCATAACTTTTCAGAGAGAGAGAGAGAGAGACTGTGTGCGTGTGTGTTACTGTGTAAAGTGACAACGATGATCCACCTTAATCAGGTTGGTCGTGAGGATTAATTGAGATGAAGCTTCATACATAGCACGCACTTACTTAGTATTAGGTTCTTGTACTTTTTCCTCCTGGCTGCCTGCAGTATGGCAGTTTCCTAGCGTATAATTAGGGCATTCCCATTGTGTGTAAATATTTTTTACACTAAATGCTTTTACCTTGGTTCTGCACATTTATTTAGTTCTTGTGGTTTGTTTAATTTTTGAATTGATGTATCCAAGCAGTACATGGATACATGTTCTTTGAAAAAATTCAAAATGACAATTTAGAAGCATGTGGAGTAGAAAGTAAAAGATCCTTGGTAGCTCTCTTTTGCCACCCCTCACTTCCACCTGTTCATCGCCTTATACGTTAATATATATTATATATTAATATACATTAATATATTGCCTTCCAATATTTGGGAGTTTTTTTGGTCTATATATGTATGTGGCATTTACAAAATATAATTCAGGCATGCACATTACTGTGTATTTTTTTGTTAACCATATTTATATATTTTGGCAAGCATTCCATGTGACTATACATA